ACAACGCCCCGGCTCACACTGCCTTTCTTGTGGACAGCTACCTGACCAAGGCCGGCATCCCAACGCTTCCGCACCCGCCCTACAGCCCAGATGTGAAGCCCCCAGGACTTTTTTGTTTGCTCGCCTGAAAAGGTCGATGAATGGCAAGCATTTTGAGACGACAGAGGGGATCCAAGCAGCATGCACCGCGGCTCTTAAGGCTATTCCGTGACGCCTTCAATGTTTGGAAATCGCGCTGGCAACTCTGCATCGACGCAGAAGGAGCCTATTTTGAAAGTTTTTAAAGAATTGTAACGATTGGTTCAATAAATTTTTTTAAATCGACTCAGTCCTATTACTTTCCCGACAAACCCTGTATTAGACACATTTCCTAGGAAATCTAGGCGTTTCCTAAATCATCATCATCATAAGATCGTCAGTCCTAAAACCGGTTGAACTTACACCTCCACTCTTTCGTATCCTCAGCTAATCTTAGCACTTCCCTAAAACTACAACAACCCACATCCGTAACTATTTGCGAACAGTAATCTAATCTAGGTCTATATCTACCCCTCCTAACTCTCTAATATGTCTCTGACTGTTAGTGTCCAACCTGTCTTAGGACCTTATCATGAAGACACTAGCGATGTACAAAAATGAAACTCATGTAATTAAACCTAAACGAACACAGACTGAAGCGTTATTGGGCTCAATGCATCGACATTATTCAACTACCGAATATTTATCCAAACTAGCCAAAACCGATCAACTGTCTAATCTATCGCTCGACGACTTTATTGTTCATGAATTAGATCCCATATAAACGGCCCAACGAGTATATTTAATACTAAAAGTGGAAATCCCTGCAATAGACATATTTCTTAAGAAATCATCCACTGAACAGTATGAAAAAGTCTATCGCATGCCTCACCGACATCAGTAGGTACATAATACATGTAAAGGACATATTTCGCCTCGAAATATAAAATAGTCTAGTGTTAGGCCACAACTACTCTTGTACTAGGAAGGGCTTAATAGCGACTTAATATTTATTAAAGTTGCAGTCGGTGCTTCTAGCACTCTGAATTTTTTATATCATAAATGGAATGAGTGACCCAGATACAATCCACCCACAATGAAGATTACAGCGAACGAATTTACGAGCAAACTTGGTTCGTCTTTTTAGCCTCATTTCTAAAGGAGATACCGTATTAGCCGCGAAAGCAGAAAAAAAAAACAAAACATGAGAATGTCGTCAAATATTNGAAAATTTAAACATGTGTGAAAGTGACCCCCAATTTTTGAATAACGTAATCACAGGTGACGAGTCATGGATCTTTGAGTATGATCCCGAGACAAAGAGGCAATCTTCCGGGTGGCACACGCCGGCGTCTCCTCGCCCAAAAAAGGGAAGAATGAGCAAATCGAAAGTGAAAACGATGCTCATTATCTTTTTTGACATGAAAGGCATCGTCCACCATGAATTTGTTCCTCCTGGACAAACCGTCAACGCCAAGTTTTACGTGAATCTGCTCAAGAGACTCAAACGAAGGGTCAATCGGGTCCGACAAGACATCGCAGCCGACTGGAAGTTGCACCACGCCAACTCCCCGGCTCACACCGCCTTTCTTGTGGACAGCTAGCTGACCAAGGCCGGCATCCCAACGCTTCCGCAGCCGCCCTACAGCCCAGATGTGCCCCACCCCCCGGACTTTTTTTTATTTGCTCGCCTGAAAAGGCCGATGAAAGGCAAGCATTTTGAGACGACAGAGGGGATCCAAGCAGCATGCACCGCGGCTTTTAAGGCTATTCCGGAAAATGCCTTCCGTGACGTCTTCAATGCTTGGAAATCGCACTGGCAGCGCTGCATCGACGCAGAAGGAGCCTATTTTGAAAGTTTTTAAAGAATTGTAACGATTGGCTCAATAAATTTTTTTGAATCGAGTCAGTCCTATTACTTTTCCGACAAACCCTGTATTAGACACATTTTCTAGAAAATCTAGGCATTTCCTAAATCATAATCATCATAAGATCGTCAGTCGTAAAACCGGTTGAACTCGCACCTCCACTCTTTCGTATCCTCAGCTAATCTTAGCACTTCCCTAAAACTGCAACAACCCACATCCGTAATTATTTGCGAACAGTAATCTAATCTAGGTCTATATCTACCCCTCCTAACTCTCTAATATGTCTCTGACTGTCAGTGTCTAACCTCTCTTAAGACCCTATAATGATGACACTAGCGATGTACAAAAATCAAACTCATGTAATTAAACCTAAACGAACCCACACTGAAGCGTTATTGGGCTCAATGCATCGACATTATTCAACTACCGAATATTTATCCGGACTAGCAAAACCCGATCAACTGTCTAACCTATCGCTCGACGACTTTATTGTTTACGAAATAGATCCTATATAAACAGTCCAACGAGAATATTTAATACTAAAAGTAGAAATCCCTGCAATAGACATATTTCTTAAGAAATCATCCACTGAACAGCATGAAAAAGTCTATCGCATGCCTCACTGACATCAGTAGGTACTTAATACATGTAAAGGACATACTTCGCCTCGAAATATAAAATAGTCTAGTGTTAGACCACAACTACTCTTGTACTAGGAAGGGCTTAATAGCGACTTAATATTTATTAAAGTTGCAGTCGGTGCTTCTAGCACTCTGAATTTTTTATATCATAAATGGAATGAGTGACCCAGATACAATCCACCCACAATGAAGATTACAGCGAACGAATTTACGAGCAAACTTGGTTCGTCTTTTTAGCCTCATTTCTAAAGGAGATACCGTATTAGCCGCGAAAGCAGAAAAAAAAAACAAAACATGAGAATGTCGTCAAATATTTCACGAGGTTCAGTTATAAAAGAGTGATTAAGTGAGAACGTGAACATGGTTTCTTCTTCTCGTGAATGAGCAAATGGATTCCGGACGTTAATTGCACATTCCGTACCTCGTTTTATATACATACGTAGGTACACACCGAAACATGTAAACAAAAAGAGATAAATACTGAAATCCCTTCATGTACTTCCGTATAAGAACCCAGAAGTAATTCTTAACCGACGAACAAATCTGGTTTTCAGTTCACGTAACCCAATCATAATAATACGACAACTAAGTGCATGCCAAAAGTATTTATAGTGTTCATATTTGGACAAGTGACATAAATAATGCGAATACAATACGTGAAACCACCACATTATGATCCCGAGTAAAACGTATCAAATATATAGCAGTATTAGCATCTAGCAAGGAGGAGTTAGAGATAACTTTAAATAAAATGGAAGCGGTATTGACAAAACAGTAATGTATGAAAATAATGTAGTATGCAGACGTGCCTTAGAATAAGTTAGTTGTTAATGTTTAAATTTTAAGTTGTTATAGTCGTAAGAATTATTTACTAATTTCTAGGAAAATGTACATGTAGCAGCCAGGTCCTCGGACCCAACCCTGTCGTAAAGTTTATTACCGTTGCTTAAAGAAAAAGACCTCTGGGACGGTCAAGAAGTACCGATTACTGTACAATTTTAAAAAGGACGGAATCGGGAGTCTAAGAACAACCCTCGAAAAGGTTAGACGTCGTGAGGGCTTGGCTCATTCATGTAAAACTTCCATGTTCTGTTAACTTAATCTTATTCATCTTATAACTTGTTTCTTTTAATAAATCGTTATATTTACACGTCCCTGTTAACGTTACTGTTATATCCCTACAATAAATAAAAGTAAAACTAAAATACTGATATGTAAGGGAGAAAAAAGTAGGGAAAGAGCGAATATAAAGGCAGGAGGCGAAAAAGTAGAAGAAGTGACCGATTTTAGGTATCTAAGAAGTCAGATAAGTCAGGACGAAAAGAGTAGTAGGGATATAAAGAAGAGGATAGCGCAGGGTCGAATCGCATTCAATAAAAAGAAGTCACTTATATGCTCGCGAATGTTGTTAAAGGTATATGTTTGGAGCACGGCATTGTACGGGTGCGAAACATGGACGGTGGAAGCTGCGGAAAAGAAAAGGTTAAAAGCCTTCGAAATGTGGTGTTATAGGCGAATGATGAGGATAACGTAGGTAGAAAAGGTTAGAAATGAGGAGGTATTAGAAGGAATAGGAGAACAGAAGACTCTACGGAAGTTAATAAAAAATAGGCGAGATAGGTTGGTAGAACACCTTCTCAGGCATGAAGGTGTAGTCAGAGACATATTAGAAGCAGAAACGGGAGTTAGGAGGGGTAGAGGTAGACCTAGATTAGATTACTGTTCGCAAATAGTTAAACATATGGGTTGTTCTAGTTTTAGGGAAATGCGAAGTTTAGCTCAGGATAAGAAAGAGTGGAGGTACATGTCCAACCAGTCTTAGGACTGACGACCTTAGGGTGATGATGATGACGATGAAGTTTTTCATTTTACCGAGAATATTGACAAACGGGCCCCCATAAGGTAGATTTAATTGTAAGTTTAGGCATGTGTTAAGTTTGCCTCTTAAGACCCATAAGAAAAACCCATTAGGCAATCCTCATTTTAGTATCACCAGTTTTTTGATGAGATTTTCATGAGGAATCTACGGGGAAATCCCTATACCCGCATGCCCACATGAGGCCCGCACGCTTCATGGGGTATGCCCCTTATTAATTCTAGTCGGGTTGTAACTACAATAGAAATACAATCTGACTACTCTCAAGTTCGTTCCGTTCCATTCGCGAACGATTTCTCTAACACTTTGTATGTTTTTGTAGCAGATTTCCCAAATTCCTATCGCGAAATTACAAAGAGAAAGTGATCACAACAAATAAAAACGAATGCGTGATGCACTTACACTAAACCCGCTTGACTGACTCGCCAGTATTGAATTTTTTGGGTTCCACCTCGTAAATGGTGTTATAATGCAAAATAAATTATTTGCATGATATTACCGTTCGAATATAACTCAGATTATACTAGAAAATTCGTTACAGCATTTAAAATAAATTGGTACCTATTCGAAATGTTAATAATTAAAACATTCGCTTACCTGGTTCCGTTTGGCCTTTTTCCTAGATTCGAAATTCGTCTTCGTCCGAAAAATGAGTTCTTTGACAGATTTACGAAAATTCCTCGACATAATGCAATAGATAATTGGATTGAGGGCAGAATTGACGTGGCCTAGCAACAACATGTACCGTTTTATTATCGCCATCGTGTTTATATCTTCTGTTTCGAATTTGCCTCCGTTCGTGTCCGTGAGGAGATTCAGAGTGTTGTGTGGCAGCCAGCAAATGGCGAAGAGGATGGCCAGGAGCAAAAGAATCCATGCGACTCGTTTTCGTTCACGTACTAAACGATAATTCTGGAAACAAAGAAGGAAAATATTAACTATAACGGAAAAACACATTTCCGAACAGATAGATACGTATTATGCAAGCCTACACACGATAAATTCGTATTGTAGCGAGCACGAGCGTGTTTGTGTGCGATCGGGCATACATGTGTGTGAGCGACTAGCCGCGGGCGCCTTTCTTCATGTGCGCCGTATCTGTAAACGTGTGTGTGTCGTACCTGCGTTCCGGGGAAGCAATTAAACAGTTCAAATAAAACGAGACTTTTCCGGACGGCTCGAGAAAGTTCCCGAAAGGGACCAAAAGGGTATATAAAGGCAGAGACGATCGCCGAGGAGAGTAGTAGAAATAAATTGACAGTGATAGAAGTGAAATAAATAGAACAGTGAATAGTAACAGTAGTGTAAATAAATGGAATAATTACCTAAGTTTAGTAATAATTTAATAGTGTTTTTAAGTTCAATAATAATTAGTGTAAATAAATAGTTTTCTTCTTAAAAGTTAATTTGTTAAACCCACAAACATTACAGTATAGACAATGTCGATTGTTCAATAAGAACGTTCAGAATACACTTAACTGTCGCATTTACTTTCTTCTTTCAACTTATTAACTAGACAAGAGCGGTTGCTGATAGAACGCCTGCTTTTACTCATGGCAGACATTACAGGGAATATTGCAAATATAGAAGAGAGATGTCAGGTGGAAATTGCAGCGGACACTAATGAAGAAAAAGAAATAACATTACACCGATTAATGTGTAACAGAAAGAGATGCAGACAAGTAGAATTTGGGCATGTTACCATCATCGAATTTTAAAAAAGTTCAACATTCTCAGAAATTTAGGAAAGTAAAGAAGCTTGTTTAAATATATAGGGTTGTTCGGAAAGTCATTTCGTTTTTTCCCGACAGAGGATTTAATTGTATTCTTTTGTACCCAACTTCACATTTAAGCCGTACAACTTTTATATGCTTTGAGAGCTCATGTAGCAAGGCTTGTGTGTGAAAAATTCCAATTAATTCTACGCAGTAGTTTTTGCTTGGTGCCCTTTTAAATATGGAAAGCTATAAGCAGCATTTTCGACATATCTTACTGTTTTACTACAGAAAGGGTAAAAATTCCGTTCAAGCCAGAAAGAAATTGACTGATGTGTATGGAGAAGGTGTGTTGACAGTACGCCAGTGCCAGAACTGGTTCGCTAAATTTCGATCCGGCAATTTTGATGTCGAAGATGCACCACGTTCGGGAAGGCCGGTTGAAG